CCTATCATCGCTGCTTGCAGCTTTAATTATTATTATTATTTTCTTTTCCGGAATGAAACGCGATTTTGAGGAGCTAAACATGCCCGAAAACTCACGGAACTTTGCACACGCCTCAGAAGTGGCGAAAATTTACGTTTATTATGGGTCTCGGAAGTGGGTGTGGCAAAATGACTCGACAGCGCCACCTAGAAAAATTAAACGGATGTGCCCCCGATCTACGAATCACGCACATGCACGAAAATTGGCACACACCTCAAACATGCCAAAACATACGAAAAAGTCTCTTGGAGCCATATCTCAAACCCAACAGGAAGTCGGATATTTTTGACTTCCCGCGGCGAAAAAGTGGCGTTTTTGCCATTTCCAGGCGTTGTATTTTAACGAACTCCTCCTAGGGATTTTATCCGATCGACACCAAAATTGGGTTTTGTCATCTTAAAGCCTTGGCGATGTTAAATTGCGAAGCTTTAGAGTTTTCGTCGATGGGCGTGTCGGTGGCGGCCTCGCAAAGTTTGACAATTCGCCACAAAACAGGAAGTCGTTATAACTCAGACATGCATTATCCGATCTGCCTCAAAATTCACACGTTTAATAACAGTCCTGACCTGAACACGTTTACATGCCAATATCCAGATACAGTTACAGCGCCACCTGCTGGCCACAGGAAATGACATGTTTTACAGAGTAACAAACTCCTCCCACAAATTTTATCGTATCAGCACCAAAATTGGGTAGTGTTATCTAAAAGCTCTAGTGATGATATATTGTGAAGATCTAGAGTTTTCGGAGAGGGGCGTGTCCATGGTGGCATGACAAACCTCAATGCTTCGCCATTGACCAGGAAGGCTTCATAACTCAACCCCACAATTGATCAGCCTGAAACTTCACATGGTTGGTAAAAGTCTTCTCCTGAACACATCCACATAACAATATTGAAGTGGGCGTGGCAAATCAACTCGACAGCGCCACCTAAAAAAATTAATTGGATGAGCCCCTGATATACGAATCACGCACATGCACGAAAATTGGCACACACCTCAAACATGCCAAAACATATGAAAAAGTCTCCTGGTGCCATATCTCAAACTCAACAGGAAGTCGGATATTTTTAACTTCCTGCTGAAAAAAAGTGGCGTTTTTGCCATTTCCAGACGTTGTATTTTAACGAACTCCTCCTAGGGATTTTATCCGATCAACACCAAAATTTGGTTTTGTCATCTAAAGGCCTTGGCGATGTTAAATTGCGAAGCTTTAGAGTTTTCGCAGAGGGGTGTGTCCGTGGTGGCATGACAAACCTCAACGCTTCGCCATTGACCAGGAAGTCCTTATAACTCAACCACACAATGTCCGATCTGCCTGAAGCTTCACATGGTTGATAAAAGTCCTCTTCTGAACACATCCACATAACAATATTGAGTCAGTCATAGCGCCACCTGCTGGCAACCAGAAGTTTGGCTGATAACTCAGCCACACAATGTCTGACCTGCCTGAAAATTCACATGGTTGAATAAAATCCTCACCTGAAGACATCTACAAGCCAATATCAAGTCACAGTCATAGCGCCACCTGCTGACAATAGGAAGTTACTTATAAATCAGGCAAGCAATGTTCGATCTGCCTGAAAAATTACATGGTTGATAAAATTTATCTCCTAAAGACATCTACATGCCAATATTGACACACAGTCCAAGCGCAACCTGCTGACAGGAGGAAGTTTGGCATAAATCTGTGATTTTCTCAGGTTTTTTAAATATATATTGGCTTAAATTAATATTGTTCGCTGTTCTCTGTCATCCTGAGAACACCGGGCGGCGGTGAGCCCGGGTGCGAGGTCCCTATCATCGCTGCTTGCAGCTTTAATTATTATTATTATTATTATTATTATTATTCTCTCCAATGAATCACGGTTTTGAGGGGCTAAACATGCCCGAAAACTCACGGAACTTTGCACAGGCCTCAGAAGTGGCGAAAATTTACGTTTGTTATGGGCTTCGGAAGTAGGCGTGGCAAATTGACTCGACAGCGCCACCTAGAAAAATTAAACGGACGAGCACCTGATCTACGAATCACGCACATGCACGAAAATTGGCACACACCTCAAACATGCCAAAACATACGAAAAAGTCTCTTGGAGCCATATTTCAAACCCAACAGGAAGTCGGATATTTTTAACTTCCTGCGGCGAAAAAATTACGTTTTTGACATTTCCAGGCATTGTATTTTAACAAACTCCTCCTAGGGATTTTATCCGATCGACACCAAAATTGGGTTTTGTCATCTAAAGGCCTTGGCGATGTTAAATTGCGAAGCTTTAGAGTTTTCGTCGATGGGCGTGTCCGTGGCGGCCTTGCAAACTTTGACGATTCGCCACAAAACAGGAAGTTGTTATAACTCAGGCATGATAAATGCGTTTTTTTTTCTACTTAGACAATTATTTTAGGTATACACACATATTTTTCAAAATAGAGAGTGCGTTTATATATACATATATATTTATATATTTTATTTGGTGAGGAGGACAATGAACATGTTCCCCCTGGGATTTACGGACGTGGTTGCGCCGCAAATCAAACACATCAGCGCTTGAATAAATGGCCTTAGCAGAAGCCATCGTGCATATCAAAAACAGGCAAAGGAATAGATTAATATTATTCAACATATCACAGAGATTTTAAGAAAATTATTAGATGTAACCCCATTTGTAATTTTTAACATTTTCAAAAGTAACTGTAATTTAATTACATATTTTTCTTAGTAACTGTAACTAATTACTGTTACTTTTATTTAGTAATTAAATTACGTAACGGCGTTACATGTAACTAGTTACTCCCCAACACTGCTTATAACTCAGCCAAACAATGTCCAATCTGCCTGAAAATTCACATGGTTGATAAGATACCTACACTGAAGACATCTACATGCCAATATTGAATCACAGTCATAGCACCACCTGCTGACAGAAGGCTGTTTGGCTTTTAACTTAGCCAAACAATGTCCGATCTGCCTGAAACTTCACATCGCTGACTAAATTTCCTTCCTGAAGACCTCTACATTGCAATATTGAGTCACAGTCATAGCGCCACCTGCTGACCGTAGAAAGTTTGGCATAAATTTCTGATTTTCTCAGGTTTTTTATATATATATTGGCTTAAATTAGTATTAATGGAGTGGATGTTGAGAGTGTTGATCAGTATAAGTATCTGGGAACTGTTTTAGATAATAAATTGTCCTTTTCTGCTAATACTAGTATGTTGTGTAAGAAGGGGTAACAAAGATTATACTGTTTACAGAAATTGAGATCTTTTGGTAAAGATAAATCACTCGTGCATGTTTTACAGTTCATACATTCAGTCACTGTTATCTTTTTCTTTGCTTTGTTGGTTCAATTCTCTAAGTGTGAAAAAAAAAGAGTTGTTTGGAGAAAATTGTGAACCAAGGAGGAAAAATAACAGGGAAAAAACAGATGCCCATGGCTCAGTCATACCAGAGACAAGTTTTGAGTAAAGCTCAGAGTATTCTGTCAGATGATTTCCATCCTATGCACCACGAGTTTTATCTTCTCCCTTCCGGTATTCGATACAGAACTCCTATTAGTAAAAACAATTCGTTTAAAACTTTCATTCATCCCCTCAGCTGTAAAGTTTTTAAACTTAGGGTAAAATATGTATTGTGTAATGTACTTTTGTGTACTGTGTGTGACATGCTTGTATGCTGCAACCTAATTGCTTTCGGGAAATTAATAAAGACTGACTGACTGACTAAATTAATATTGTTTGCTGTTCTCTGTCATCCTGAGGCCACCGGGCGGCGGTGAGCCCGGGTGCGAGGTCCCTATCATCGCTGCTTGCAGCTTTAATTCATATTATTTTTCCGCCCCTAATCTGGGCATTTTTGAGGGTCTAATTATGCCCGAAAACTTATGAAAATTTGCACACACACCAAATGCAATGTAAATGGCTGGTTAATATGGGTTTTGGAAGTAGGCGTGGCAAAATGACTCGACAGCGCCACCTATAAAAAGTCAAACGTCAGTAACGTCAGTCAAACGTCAGTGAAGTTCCTGAAGTTTGTGTTGTTTAATGATCTCTGCTGAGGTCTTGAGAAAATACATTTACATTGTGTAATTTGTTTTATTTTTATTAATTATTGTTTTATTTTAGAGCTTTATTCTCAGTTGATTTCATCTTTGGTTTTGGCTGTAATTTTATTTTTTTTTCCTTCAGTGATTCTACTGTTAACAGTTGTTTATCAATAATTCTCACTCCTCCTTTAATTAGACTCACTGTCTGGTTGTTCAACCGTAGTTGAACAGTAGTGAGGACACTAGTAAGTGAGGACACTAGTAAGAATTTTGCTCTGGGATTTGAGGGGTTAAATTTGTTCGATGAAATACAGACGGTGGAATGTGTTTTTTACAGAAATATTCCGTAAATGGAATTTACGAACTTAAAATGTTAAAAACAGCAGATTACTGGCAACCACAGCTGCCAGTATTTTTCTGTAAATTTAATAGATTTTTTTAAAGAAGGAAGTTCTGTAAAAAAAACTGAGAATGTACTGGCAGAAAATTAACACTACATTTTTCTGTTTTTATTTTTTTTTACGGAAGTTTTACAGAATTTTCCGTTTACTAAAAGAAGGAAATTCTGTAATACATACATATATATA